AGCCGGTTTGGCTCAACGGTTAGAGCGTCGGCCTGCGGTCCCGAGAGACCCGGGTTCGGTGTCCGCTAAGGGCATGTACCTCGGTTGCAGTTTGTTCCCGGCCCTGGTTGGTCGTGCAGGTGGCAGCCACTCGATGTGTCCCTTTCACATCGATGTTTCTCTCTCTCTTCCTCTCTCCCCCTCCCACTCTACCTGAACAAAAAATAGAAAAATGTCCTCAGGTGAGGATAAAAAAAAAAAAAAAAAGAACAATGCAGTTTTAACTTCAAATGTGTTCATATATTTGAGGGACATGCCCAAGCAAAACATAATGCCATATAAGATACAGTGAGAGGTGATACACATTTTAAGTAAAATAGCAAACCAGAATAACCAAAACATCTCTAAAGTCCATACTGTAGTAAGATTTAAAGATAAGTATTTTGAAGGTATTTTTTTTCTTTAATTCTGAGCATAGCAATCTTATATTAAATTGGGCCGGCCCAGCCAGTGTGGCTCACTGGTTGATCATTGGACACATGCACCAAGAAGACGCTGGTTCAATTCCTGGTCAGGGCACATGCCCAGGTTGTGGGCCCAATCCCCAATTGGGGGCATGCAGGAGGCGGCCAATCGATGTTCTTTCTCATTGATGTTTCTCTTTCTCTCCCTCTCTGCCCTGGCCAGTTTGGCTCAGCAGTTAAGCATTGGCCTGTGGACCAGAGAGTCCCAGGTTCGGTTCCTGCCTGCTAGGGGCAAATACCACATAAATAAATAAATAAATAAATTGTGCCAACTACTTTGAAAAGTAGCCCATTTAAAATTCTATATGATATTCTCTTTAAAAAATTCTCACCAGAGGATGTGTTTATTGATTTTACAGAGAGGGAGAAAGAAAAAGAGGAAGAGAGAGAAACATCGATGTGAGAGAGAAACATCAATTAGTTGCCTCTCCTATGCACCCCAATCGGGGAACCCACAACCTGGCATGTGCCCTGACAGGGAATCGAACTCACGTTTTGGTGTAGGGATGACACTCCAACCAACTGAGCCACACTGGCCAGGGCCCCATGTGGTATTCTATCTATATGATATGTAAATTTTTATTTAGAAAGGGTTTATGAATCAGGATGAAAGGTGATTTTAAGGTATATTCACTCCTAAGGATTCCTTTTAACAGGAAAGACACACATAGTTGTAGTAAAGAAACGTAAAAAGGAAACACAGTAAACAGTAAGCTCACTCACTTGTGCTTCAATCCTATAAATAAGGTGTCCCGATAATACCTGCTCATGCACATGGTAGTGTTTCATATGCTGGCACTTTCTTCAGGCTGGTGAGAGCCAGTGGGGGTACAGGCAAACACAGCTACAGGCACACAGCATGCTTTGTGACTGGTAGAAAACAGTGCAGGTCCCAGGATATGGCTCTCTGTTGTAACGGAAGCCAAAATTGTTTAATTTGCACAACCTCTTTTAAGTTCACATTTTAAGTACCCAAAATAACTATACTATTTTAGCCTCAGAGTAGTATGTGTATTCTGGCTTGTTTCTGCTTGGGTTGATAGTTGGCTGGAGGATGGAGGTGGTGTTACTTCTTTAAATCTGGCTCAGAAATAGTTGAATAAGGTAGAATATTCCACCCATCCTTTTTTGATTATTTTTAGTTCGTCTCTCCTCCCCTTTAAAGGAGCTCTTAGCTATTTTAGTGGCACAAAGGGTTTCCTAGTCTAAAGTCATAGGTATGTGTACTTACTGGTACTTGTCATTGCATATGAGTGGAAAGTGTGGCTATCAGAAAACCCAACATTTCAATTTTAGGTTAAAAAAGAGTTCAGCCTCTCTAGAAGTGTTCTTTGGGCTTGTTTTCCACTTTACAGTTTCTCCTCCATCATCTTTTTTTTACAATGCACATAATGTAGTTCTCAGTGTTCACTATATCTTAGTCACTTGGAAAAATTTTTAAAAATATACCTATGACAACGGTCTTAACCCCAGAGATTTGATGTAGGGTTGGATCCAGGTAGTATTTTAAAAACGTGACCTAGGCCCTGGCCAGTTTGGCTCAGCGGTTAGAGTGTCGGCCTGCGGTCCGGAGAGACCCGGGTTCGGTTCCCGCTAAGGGCACGTACTTCGGTTGCAGTTTGTCCCCGGCCCTGGTTGGTCGTGTGGGTGGCAGCCACTCGATGTGTCCCTTTACATCGATGTTTCTCACTCTCTCTCCCTTCCTCTCTCTCCCTCCCACTCTACCTGTACAAAAAATGGAAAAATATCCTCGGGTGAGGATAAAAAAAAAAAAAAAAAAAAAAAAAAAAAAAATAAAAACGTGACCTAGGTGATTTTAATGTGTAGCTAGGATTGAAAACCACTGGTTTCAAACTGGAGTAAAAATTCTAGGTTCTAGTTCCAGTGCTGCTATTTACTAGCTGGCTGATCTGAGTACACCATTTCCCATAGGACGATGAGGTTGGATTAGAGGTTTATAAAAATTCTCTAATTTTAAAACAAAATTAAATTAATTTATATTTGTATATCATCTAGTTTGCCCAGCTCCAAAGAGATGAAAACTGAATTATGTGGAGTATGAGAGTTTGGTTTGAATCAAGTGAATAATAATAAAATAAAAAAAGCACTTAAACTTGCCCCTTTTCTCTCTTCCCAATTACAAGGCATGGGAGAATAGAAACAGAAATTTAAGCTTAGAAATCACAAGAGACTTATAGGGCTGCTTTGTCTGTCCCCAGCTTTCTTAAATTGGGAGCTAGTCAGATGGTACCTGGGGAACAGAGGGAGGAGGGAAAGGGCTGACTACATACACATCAAGAAGGTAAATATAATACAAACCCCAAAGGCCTTACACTACTCATCAGACCATAATCTGGCACTAAACAGGCGGGTGTGGAAGGTTGAGTAGGGGTGTGAACATAAACGTACAGTCCCCCGCCCCCCCATCCACTGCGCTTGCCCAGAGGTGATACCCGGCGACCCACCCCCAACCAGGTCCACCCCAGCCTCACCTCTACCCTTCCCAGCCCGCCCCCTGCCCCGCCCCATCCGGAGGGTAGAGGGGGCGCACTTGGCCCCACCTAGCAAAGGCGGCAGCGGGAGGCAGCCACTACAGCTCTCCAGGAGCCGTTTTTTCAGATATCTACGACCTCTTTCACCGAAACCATCTCTGCCTCGAAAACCTGACTCCGACTCAAACCCGACCCCCCAGCTTCTTTGCCCCTTCTCTCTAGACTAGGCTCGCCTAAAAAGCCTAAACCCACAGAAGACCTCGGCCCAAGCGCCGGTTCATACTCAGTCTCCGGATGATTCTCAGTCCTTGTACCCTCAACCATCTCCTCCTCGTCCTCACACCTCTCCCGGGCAAACCCGAACTCTCCAGGCTCACCTCCCCACTCTCTCTTGTCTTCCCCTCAGTAAGTCTTCGGGCTTTTCTCCCTCCCCACCAGCCCCGTTTTCCAGAACTTCCTCATCCTCCCTCCAGCCCCCTCCGGGCTCCAGGTCTCTGACATCACCTGAGCTTCCCACTCGCTCGTACTTCCCATCCCCTCCACTCGACCCCTCGCACCTCCCAGCCCTGACCTCCCAGGGGCTCGCAAGGCCTGTGCTCTCCCTCCTCCCCGGACCCCGCCAGGACACCCCAGGAGCTCCACGCGCTCACACTCCAACCTCCCGGCCCCACACCCGGTGCACTTCTCCCCCACGGTTCCCTCCTTTCCCAAACGGGGCTCCCCTACTTCCCGGTCACACCCCATCCCTGGACCTGACACCCCCCTTCAGTCCCCACGCTCGCACTCCTTTACTTCCCGACTTGACCCACTGGGCGCCCCTCCACCCGCTCCCTCTCCCTCCCGACAGCTCGGACGCCCCCTCCCACGTTCACATTCCCCACCCCCGGCCCTTAGCCCCACCCCCTTTTCTCTCAGCCTCTTCCTGCCCGGCCCCAGCCCACAGAGCTCCCTCGGGAGGGATGGCCGTCGCCCGTGGTGCCTGGGCCTGGGCTGCCGGGAGGTGACGCGGCCCCCGCGGGAGGAGCCCGGGAGGCGGAGGGGAGGAGGCGCGGGCGGCGGGAGCGAACGGCGGCGGCGGCGCAGGGAGCGAGCGGGCCCTCGGCGCCGACTCCGCGGACCTAAGGGGCGGCGGCGGCTGAGGGACCCCGGACCCGCACGTGATGAGGGAGGACAGGCGCCCGACCCTGCGAAGCGTCGGAGTTCGCTGGGATCCGGGCGCTGGCTGCCGAGGGGCCCTGGCCCCGGGACTCTCCGGCGCTAGCCCTCGCCATCCCGTCCCCGCTTTCGCTTCTCCGCTCTAGCGCGGAGGGGTCCCCGCAGCCCTCTCCCCGTCGCTTCTGGAGGGGCTCTTCCCCCGCGGCGCCCGGAGCCCTGGGACGCGTCAGCGGGCGGGACCGCCGAGCTGCTCCTCTGGGAAATTAGCCCCCGCCGCCTCACTACCCTCTCCGCTCCCGCCTCGGCGCCCCTCCGGCTCGCGGGACGCTGCCTCCCGGCGCCCCGCGCGAGTTGCCGGGACTCCCGCGGCGGCTGCTTCGCAGCTACCCCTTCTCCCTCTGAGGCGGCGCGCGCGCCCCTCGCCCCCGCCGCGGCCGGACACACTCGCCCCGGCCCGCGCCGCCCTCGCTCCCTCCAGCCACCCCACCCTTAGTCGTCCCCGCCACCTTACTCCACCACCCTCCCCCACCGCTCGGCGCACACCGCGTCCCGGCCCGGCCTTGCGCTCTCCTCTCAGCCAAACCTCTCACTTGCCAGCCCTTCGCCCCCGGAGGCTGAGGAAACATTTCCCGGAGCGCGCTCCTCAGCCCGCCCTCCCCTCTGCGCTCGCCCTCCCCTCCCCCCGCTTTCTTTCTTGGGGGAGGGGGACTGTCGCCTCGGTTTGAAGGCCATTGATTTGTATGTATTTGTCCCGGCGCCGGAGGCTGCCCCAGCCGCCCGCGCGGGTGCCGCCGCCGCCTCCAGTGGAGTTGCCTCCCTGCTTCCCTAGGGCGGTTAGGCTCCACCAAACATGTCGGCTCCTGTCGGGCCGCGGGGCCGCCCGGCTCCCACCCCGGTGGCCGCTCAGCCTCCTCTGCAGCCCGAGATGCCCGACCTCAGCCACCTCACGGAGGAGGAGAGGAAAATCATCCTGGCTGTCATGGATCGGCAGAAGAAAGAAGAGGAGAAGGAGCAGTCGGTGCTCAAGTAAGGACCCAGCTCCATCTTCCCGCCTCCCTCCCTGCCCTCCGCCCCCTCGGCGGCTGCCCGAGGCCGTCTGCGCGCCCGGGATCGCCGCCCTCCCTCCCCCGGCGCCGGGGCCACGAGGGCTGCGGCCGGCCCGGGCTGCCCGGCGGGTGTCAGCGCGGGGGTGTGTGTCGGGAGGGAAGGCGCCGAGGCCGGCTGAGGCGAGGGTGGCGAGCCTTTGGACGATGTCATTTTCCCCGAGCGTTCTTCGTGATTTCCCCGCGGGCAAGTTCGGCTGCGGCCCCGCGGGGGCAGGGGCTGAACCCCGGCTCCTCGCGCGCCTTCTTCTTTGCCGCCGCCCCGAGGCGGAGGCAGTGAGCGACTGGGGCAGGGAATCCAATATGGCCGTGCACAGGTGCTCCTGGCCCGGACCCGGGCGGAGGCGCGCGGCCGGGGATGCGGGCGCCGCCGTGGGCCCGAGTCCCGCGTGTCCGCACGGCGGCTCTGCCCCCAGCGCTGGGAAGAGCAGAGCTACCCCCGGCCTCCGCGGGCAGGAGGGCGGCGGTGCGGGCGAGGGGCCTGTGCTCTTGCGAGTCTCGGGTGGGTGTGCGGCCGCCGCCATCTTCCAGCCCCTCCCCCTCGGCCGGTTCTAACACCCTGCACTCTGCTGCTCTTCCTGTTTGCAACTAGTAAATCTGTTTAATCCTGAAGAGACTCCAGTTCCTACCATTACTGCAGTTTGCAGTGCTTCCTACCTAGTGAAGTTCTACTACTCGCGCTCCCAGTCGAGGCTGCGGGGCTGGCCGAGGGTGGGAGAGCGAAAGCTGCAGCCAGACAGGGTTTAGCGGCGGCGTAACTTCAGCACTAGGGAACTGTCCAGACGGACAGCGACAGCTTTGAGAAGCTTTCTAGTTAGTCTAGCAGTGAATTGTTTCTACAGGTTTGCTTATAAATGTTTTACGGTGATTTGATTTCTCAGTTACTATGAGAAAGAGATTGTGCAGAAGATGTGTAGCCTTTTTATGTTTTTCCAACTCAACTTTTTTTCTTTTTACTTGAATTGTTCACTGAAAGATTAACTTGTACAGTTTATATGCCAAAGTGGGACTTTTTGTGTGTGTTATCAAATACACTTCCCCATATTCTCCACTGAAACACATAAATGAAAATGTAGAGTTTCTTTATGAAGAAACTAACACACTAACCTCTAATAATGTAAATTTTAAAAACAGGTTGTTGAATTCAGTAGTCTTTAATACACTTATAAGGAAACAATTCTCTCTCTATATTTTCATAATTTGATGAAAAATATTACTTTAAATAATTTATGATAAACGTATCAAGTATTTGTACATGTTTGAAAAAATACTAATTATCAAAAAATACTGAAGGACTAAGAGCAAATGTATTTCTGACATATTAACTAAAATAGAGAATAATTGCTTCTTGCAAGATAATTTCTGGGTTTAAATAGTTTTTTTGGGACTGATTTATTAGTAGACTTGGAAATGAAAAAAAGATTAAGAGAGTTAAGTAGCTTATTTCAACTAATAGAAGTATAAAGCATTATTTATAAAAGGTTTTTGAGCATACTCCTAACTTCACTTTATATATACTGTAAATACCAAGCTGTTGATGACTTAGAGTTTGATAGTTAGATATATTAACCTATATTTTTACTATATTGTTGTAAAACTAATGTTGCCAAAATGATGCTCAACTAAAACATAGATTTATTTCCTTGATCCACATATTTAAATGTAGAATGTATTTTTTATTTCTTTTTGGTATGCTAAATAATAGCATTTATTGGCAAATTCATTATAGTTTCAAATCTGTTATTCTACTATACAGAAATTTAAATGAACTTTTGAGTACTGAATTAAGAATTATTCAAATGAACAATATATTATACTAGAAAATTGTGAAAGGGCTGGATATTCAGGTAGGTACATGTGAATATATTACACTTGTGTGTAACTCTACATACTTTACAAATACATTTAATGTTTGTGCATTCATATTTTTACAATTTAGATAGAAACTAACATTATCTAAACATCTATTCAGTCTATGAATTTACATTGATGAAAAATCTATTTATAATTGTTTTAAATATATACTTGCATTTCTATCTAACTTAGTCTTGAAAGAAGAGGTCATAGCTCAAAATGGCCTACATAGTTTCAGAATTATTTTTGTTTTCACTTTAACAATAAGTTATTTAGAGGTTGAAACATAATATGTTTGAAAATTTAATTGTAAATGTTCTTTAAAAGTGCCTTTTTGGCCCTGGCCGGTTTGGCTCAGCGGTTAGAGCATCCACCTGCGGTCCGGAGAGACCCGGGTTTGGTTCCCGCTAAGGGCATGTACCTCGGTTGCAGTTTGTCCCCGGCCCTGGTTGGTCGTGCGGGTGGCAGCCACTCGATGTGTCCCTTTCACATCGATGTTTCCCTCTCTCTCTCTCTTCCTCTCTCTCCCTCCCACTCTGTCTGTGCAAAAAATGGAAAAATGTCCTCGGATGAGGATTAAAAAAAAAAAAAAAAAAAAAAAAAAAAAAAAAGTGCCTTTTTGTCTTTAATAATAGTAGGCAAGGAAAATGAAGAAAAGACTAGACTTAGAATTATAATAACAAGAGATAAAACATTTTCAAGAATTTGACATTTATTAAGTATTAAATAATCAATATTGGATATTAAATTTCACATGCTATATATAAGAAAATAATTCTAGTATTCTTCAATGGCTACTATTTCCCATTAACTTTTAAGGGACAACTATCTGGTTATAACTATACTGTCCTTTGTTTCTCTTTAGTGATATTCATTTAATTGCATGTTAACATCTATTCTGAAAGAAGGTCATGGATAAAGAGAAATAAACTGATATTCAAATTTATATCTGCTGTCTTTGTAACAACTATATTAGAAAAAGAATTTAATGTGTGAAAATTGGAACAATTGGATGGCTATATTTTTGCATGATCTGTGAGTTTCAATATTTATGTTAAGTATTCATACAAAGTGGCATGTGTATTAGGAGATGATATATGGGAGTACAGGAAAAATATTAAAACATTTGCATTTCTATTTTTATTTGAAAAAGAAATTAAGCTTTACTAATACTTAATATTTAGATCGACAATATTAAGATACATATAATTTACATATAAATATTTATATATTAAGAGGTTCACACCTGTGATATTTTTAATGAGAGGTGATCGATAAAACAGATTAAGATCACCACAGTAATCTCTTGCCTTAGGAGCTGGAACGATTAAAAGTATTTATATTTAATTGTTGGCAGTGTCTTTCAAGGCTAGCTGAACATCCACATACGCAGGACGTCTTCTGTCTCCAACAAATAATACTATTTTATATGTGAGTGAGATACTAGAATTTTTGAAGCATTTACATATATTTATAGGTCAATAATTACTTTTTTATTCTTACATGAATTCCATTAACATTTATCATTTGGATAACTCTGTCAGTAAATTCTATAATATCCTTTCACTGATTAGTGTTTTTAAGCCTTGTCTTTCAAGACTGTAAACTTCCTGAGGGCAAGAATAAAAATGTATCCTTAGAGTTTATATTTTGCAGTATCCTTAATAACTGTGCATAGTAGGTACCTAATAAGTAATGTTGATTTGACTCGTGGTCATGTTAATGAGGTAGTTTACTAATTATGTTGGGGAAATGGAGAGTGAATTTTTTTTTTAAAGAAAAGTATAATTTAAAAGTTTCTATTTTCCTGTGAGTCTTTTTTGTTTGTTTTTTGGTGTGATACTACGAAAAAAATATGAGGAATGCACACCCATTTAAATCAATAGAACAAAGGTATTCATTCAGTAAATATTTATTGAATTTCTACTATGTACATATTATAGTCTTTCAAATGAGGTGTTTTTGTAACAAATGAGAAATTATATATTTCTTGATGTGTAAATTATCTTTTTGATCTCAGTTTAAATTTTTTGTTAATGTCAAAAGGATAATTTGCTCCTCAAATAAAGGAAGATAATAAGTAAAAATTTCCCTGACAGATCAAGGTAATAATTTAGCTTATACTAAAAACAGGTGAGCAGTTCTACTTTTTTTTTAGTAATTCAATTTTAAAAGCACTTTCTAAAGTCAATTTGTAAATTCTTTAATAGGTAATATATATAAATAGTATAAAATTTCTTACTATTTCTTACAAAATTTCTATTTCCCCTAGTCAGAGGCAACTACTATTGCCAGTTTATTGTATAGGCTTCCAGAAAATTCTATGTAGAAGAGTAGATATGTATATATCAAATATTTTATATGTGTATATGTATGTGCACATGCATGTATGGATATATGTGCATAAACATAAAAAACACAAATGTGTTCTGAAGTTTACTTTTTAGGAGATAATTTCTACACTCATTAATATATAGCTGCCTCATTCATTTTAATGGCTGCATAATATTTCATTTTATGAATGTTTTGCAATTTCTTTAACTAGTACCATATTTTTGGGTAAGTTGATTTCAATTATTTTGCCATTAGGAAAAACACTATGTTAAATACCTTTGTACATATGTCATTTTTCCACATGTGTGAATATATCAGTGGGATAAATTTTTAGAAATGGAATTATTTGGTCAAAAGGTCATTATATTTAATTAATATTGACAAATTTACTTTCATAGAGGAAGTACACGTAAGTGACATATACTAGGGAGACTTTTCCACATCATTGCCAACTCTGCATGATAATCTTTGCCAATATTTATGTGAAAAATATATCATTGTAGATTTAGATGAAGTTTTCTTATTATCAGTGAGGTTGAGAGCATTTTATATTTGTGTAGAGCCTTTTACATTTGTGTAGAGCCCTTTGTACTTCTTTTTCTGTTGGTTATTTTTAGTGATCTGTAGAAGCTCTTTATATGTCTTTTGTTTTGTGACCTTGTTTGTGCCTTTTTTTTTTTGCTGGTCAGGATTGTAAAAAAATGTATTTTAATTTATTAGTTTTTGTTTTTTGGC